CAGTGCTGTTCGTGACCCGAATTGGTCGTGAACAGAAGCGTTCGTGACCCGAGGTACCACTGTACAATCCTAGGCTGCATCCAAAGAAGTAGACTATGCTGTAAAGAAATAATAACCTATCTCAATTCTGCATTGACCAGACAGCACTTGGAATATTGCATTCAGTTCTAGACATCTCATTTGAGGAAGTATATTGACAAATGAGGGCATATCCAGAGCAGAAAAAATCAAGATGACAAAGGGCCTGGAGGGAAAAATTTACAAGGGATGGTTGGAAGCATTATGCATGTTAACCTGGAAAAAAGAAGACTGGGGAGACAGTGGCTATCATCAAGTTCCTCAGGTTCTGTTATGTAGAAAATAAGACAGAATTGTTCCAGAAGACAGGATTTCAAATAATGGGTTTAAATTATATGGAAATACATTTCAGTTGGATATAGGAATTTTTTTCTAAGGTAAGAGCTGTTCAACAATGAAGTAGACTACCTCAGGAGGTGGTAGATTCTCTTGCACTGGAGAAGTTTAAACAAAGGCTAAATCCCATCTGTCAGGCTGCGGTATAGTAGATTCCTGCAATGGGCAGGGGATTACACTAGATTATTTCCAAAATCCTTTCCAATCCTTACATTATGCGATTCTATGAAGTTTTTGAGTTGCAGATAAAATTAGCACCTAGAGCACTAATTGAAATAGTAGAAGGTAAGAAGTTCAATTATCACTCAAAAAGCTGAATGTTGGGTTATAAATGGCCAGAACTTTATTAATTAGAGTTAGCATATACTGGTACAGGCCATAGCTCTAGGCAGTGTTATGAGTTAGGGGAGTAAATGCCTGACTTTGGCTTAAGCCATAGGGTAGACCCTCTCAACCCTTGTGCCAGAGTGAGACATTAAACACTGCTCTAAGTTACCTTATGGAGAAAACAAGTTTAGACAAGCAGAGAACAATCCCCACTTACCCCTGAAACTGCTTTCACTATCAACCTGACAGGTTATGACAAATTCTACAAGTAACAGTAATATTGCTACAAGCCAAACTACCTATTGCTTATGAGCCAATTATTTTTTCCTCCAGCTGTCAATCAGCAGTTAATTCACATATTCAGCACAACCTCACCATAATAAGAGGGAGAAAAAGTCCTGGGGATGGGCATAAAATAGCTGACCTAACCTTACATCTGGGGGCTTCTTTGAAATCATAGGAGTAGATCAGAGGGAATATTTAGCTTTCCAATCAAATCTCAGTAGACTGAATTCATATCACAGCCAGTTTAACAGTACATTTGAGACTTTGGTCATATCACTGCATTGGAAAGAGCAATCAGTTCCATTTGCCATCACGTACCAGGGCAGCAAAGATCCCTGGAAAATAAATGAACTACATATTTAATATGGGTACCACACATGCAGGTGGTTTCCCTATTTTCCTTTGAAGCAATTTACATATTTTACAATTCACATGTGGAAAGATTTAACATGGAAAATGACAGACATGTCATTTATTTGCTGGCAGGTGAGCTTCTAATATATCCATCAGCTTGTAATTTTAAAGAACAGGCCAAATATTTTCTTGCAAGCAAATCTGTTTATAGATAAGTATGCTGGGACACTGCAGCAGATAACAACCAGGAAATTGTAGTTAAGCATTTGTGGGTAGGTATGCCAGCTTGCTGTTTCAAGAACCAGATTGAAGTGATTCCCTTTGGGTAGCAAACATATGCCTCTTGACTGAAACACTAATCATATAACGTCTATCCAAAATTTTAAATAAAAATTGAAGGCCTATTCATGTTTTATTAAAGACTTTCTCATAATGAAATCCTGAGGTAGAATTTTGCTTAAATAATAAGCTACAAAGAAGGCAGCCATAATGATTTTTTGTATGCTTGTACTAGAAGCTCCTTTGGGAAAGGCTTTTGAGAAAAAGCCTGTGTCATCTAGGTTGTGCAAGACGTGTAGGTTATACTAGATATCTAGGTTATACTAGATGACACATATTTTAATGAAATTTTCACAGTAAAGTATATAGCTGAACATACTGTCTGAACTATTTAGGAGCAAGGGACTCCCTCTCTCAGAGGTAAATATCAATGTACCTGTTTAAAAACATACTTTTATAATAAACAAACAGGAAGATGGCATGTCACAAACCACTAGCCACCAGCATAATTTTTATAGCAATGCCTCTGGGCCCTGTAAATGTCTCGGTGGGATGGTGGGAGTACCTGGGAATATTTTGTCTTCCGGTTAAAATATTGGCATGGGGTGAGGTATCATCGTTATGCAGATGGTGCCTCACCCCAGTGATACCTCACCTGTATTTTGCCACTCCAAGCCAAGTAGAAATGCAGTGGAAGTCTTGACCTGATATCTGGAGGTCATGAGGTGAATGAATCGGAAGAAATAGGCTTAGACTTAGTTCTGGAAATACAGAGAATATTGATTCAGAAGTTATCCAGTTCCAGGACAGATAAATCACTGGCTCTGGCTGGGGTTGCATTCTCCAGAAGGAACAGGTTTCAAAGTGGGTGACATGAATTTTATGCCCAGCTATATATATCATACTATGCAAGGTCCTCATTCAAATTGAAACGTGTTGTAACTAACTAATTTGAGATTAGCATATTAAGCAATGCACACAGAGAGTACTGCCCTGCAGACTCCTTGTGCTGATAGATATTTCATCTATTATAAACATAGCTGTACATGTGATAGAAAAATAGCACATGGTTCTTTTTAATTTGCTGTTGCGAATTATCAGACAGAAAGACTTTTTAAAGCACCATTTATTCACATTAATGATCCTACTTAATTGGTGTTATATATGTTCAGTAGCACCAATAGCCTATAATTCTGATCTTCAGTTAATGGAATACACCCAATACACAAAGGCTGATAAATGCTAAAAAATAAATGCATTGTTTATAATATCTGTATACAGGTAGTCCCCAACTTATGACCACAATTGGGACTGGAACTTCCATCACTAAGTGATGTGGTCATTAAGTGAGTTGTGCCCAATTTTATAACTTTTGCTGTGGTCGTTAAACGAATCGCAATAATTAGGTGAATATGCAGTTGTTCAGCAAATCCGCTTCCCCCATTGACTTTGCTTGTCAGAAGCCCCCTGGGAAGGTCGGAAATGGCAATCACATGACCCTGGGATGCTGCAACTGTTGTAAATATGTGCCGGTTGCCAAGCACCTGAATTTTGTTTACATGACCAAAGTCACTTTTTTCAATGCTGTCATAACTTTGAATGGTCATTAAACAAATGGTCGTAAGTCGAGGACTACTGTAGTAGTACTTTATGGCTAAGATATATTGCAGAGCCACAAACATCATGGAAGATCAGTATTTGATTATTTGGTGACTATTTTTAGTACTTCTGCTCAGTAACACAGAAGTTAGGAAATTAATCTTTGGCCCTACTGATTTTATTGGACCTTAATGATCTTACAGGGAAAAGGGTTCTTTACATAGTAGTATTTAGTTCATGCACAGCAGTCATCTATATATTTACTTAGAAAAAAACCAGGGCCTCACATAGCAGAAAAATCATTTGGAAACTATCCTCATTATGCTGAGCAGGGCGCTAGACATCTGCCCCCAAAGTCCACCCCTAACTTTATTTCTGCCCAGCTCAGCAACTTGGTAGGTGAGGGCACTCTTAAAGAGTATATTACAATATATGAATAGTATCCTAACTGAAGCCAACTCCTTGTGGGGAAGTAAGCCAAAACAAATTATAATGTAGACAAAAGGTTTTCTGTTTCATATACAGGTGGATTTTAAAGTTTTATATGTTATGAACTATATTACTAATGTTGCTTTATTTTAGAGGGAACCAGTAAAAAAAAATATCAATGTATATTGATATGGCTTATGGCTGATAGGATACATACTTATGAGTAGACCCACAGAAATAAATGGAACTAATTGGGAATAACTCAAAATTATTTCAATTTACTCATTTCTCACTGTGCAAATTAAATTCATTATCTGCTATTTCACTTCTATGGATTGAATTATTACAACTGCAGTAATTGGCAATCCAAAGTTATTCCTGTAATAGTAATAAAAAAGACTGAATGACAAAGATATGAACATGGAAAAGCCTCGCCCTGCAAAGGAATGGTAGTTGTGAAATCTTTTTTGCTGATGAGTAGTGCATAGGTGTGTCAGCACCATTAAAAAAGTTGACAAGAGGACTGTTGGAAATATATGTATTTATGAGATTCTGGTTAGGAAAGAGATTGCTAGTTAGAGTTTCATGATTGTGTGTCATAAACGTTCAGGTTTCCATATGGAAGATACCCAAATATGGACAAAGTGATGATGTATGGAGGAAAGAATTTACTGCCAGGTTTTGGAGAATATTTGGAATTTTTCATATTTATAGGAAAAACATGGACTATGCTTGAATAACAGTGAAATGAATCTCAGCATTGTTTCATATTATCAGAAAGAGAACAGCTTGAGAACTTATTTCTGGGGAAAGACATGAAGAAGCTATAAAGCATATAGTTATCCCTTAAGTTAAAAATGTTGTTGTGAAATGGGAATATGGTAGAACTTGCCAATGCATGTGTATATTGTAATGGTATGTGGGAAAGACCTTGGAAGACAAGGCAAAGAGATGCTGCTTAGGCAATGATCAGGTAAGAGACAGCATAGCCTGCAGCAGTATAATGGGAGGGGTAAGAGGCTAGTTGAGAGTGGAAGAATTGTACTTTCAGACTTACAAGATTCTGTTAATGTAGCTTTACAATAAAGTAGAATTAGCTTATCTGGTCGTGTTTCCTGTCTGGTCTACCCGGAAAGGCTGACATCAATCTTGTAAGTCTGAAAGTACAATTCTCCTGCCTTCTCCTTTACAGCCCAAGAAACTAGGGAGGGTTCCTTCTGAGCCTCTTGCATTATGCAGTTGCAGGCTATGCTGTCTCTTATCTGACTGTTCCCTAGGCAGCATCTCTTTGCCCCACCTCCCAAGGTCTTTCCCACATACCATTACATATATTGATGAATCATAGGGAAAACTATTCAAACAAACAAACAAACAAATAAAAGAAAAGTCTACACCATGTAGAGATGTTTATATATGCCAATACCATTGTACTAGAAATGTCTAAACCAAAGAAGCTGGAATGCTTAGTGCTAAAACAGAATACAGAGATGGTGGGCATAATAAAATATCTGGATGAAGAGGACAAATCCATGGAATAGTTATAACTGAATAGAAAATAAATAGAAAATAAGGTGTATTAGGCTTGTGTTAGTCTAAATGTTTAGAGAAGGAAACATGAGAGAAGCAAATTATTCACAAAATCACAATGGTTAAAAGCATCACATTTCAAACTAATTTAAATAGGAAAGATGCTGTAACATACTTGGTCAGGATTCTTGAAGCAGAAAATAAGCATGGTAGTGGTTTGTCCAAAATACTCATAAAAATTCATTAAAATGTTCAGGTGAACGTATCCTGATATAAGAAATAATCATTACACAGAAGTAGTTCTGTATTTAATCCTTATTTCATGTCCATATTGGCCTGCTACCAATGCACATTTGTGCATTTTCAAAAGCTCTCTGACATCCATGACATTTGTTGTAATACACAAAATGTGTAATAAAATGCAATCAGTAAATTTTGCTTTTCCTAGATGTGAAAAACATGAATTTGCATTCTAATCCATCCAGGAAAAATATGAGTGGTAATTTACACATGCCTTAATTGAAATAAATACATGGGAAACAAAATTACATAGGTAATAAGAAATCTGCATAGAGATCTCTGTGAGGGTAACAATAATAAAATACACAAAGTGAAACTCAGTATGCTACTATATATATCATGACTATAATTCAGGAATGGTATGCCTAAGCAAAGGCGTATTATAACCATCTATACCCCATTTTTATTGCAAATCTTCGTAGTATCACTGAGCAGAAGAAAGTAGTCTAAATAATCACTGCAAGGAAGCCAGACACATTATAGAACGCTAACCAGTTGGGAGGCACTTGTGTATCTCAACATCTAAAGTGGCTGACAGTAAACAGAGCCTAGGCAACATATTCTTTAAAAATGGTTAGAACAAACATCGGTTAACATGTGACCTGCAAGATGTTAAAGAATTGTAACTACCAGCACCCCTCATAATTTTCTCTTGGCTGCTGCAAGATCTAGTTCAGCAACAATAGGAGAGCTAGATTTTCCACACCTGCATTAAGGCTTATTGCAGCCACATCACTGGGAAGGCCTATACAACACTGGGGAAGGATTAGGAGATTACTTCAAGGTATATAATATACTAAAGCAAAGAGGATCTTCTTCTAGTACAATAAGACCTGCTTTTCAGGAAAGCTATTTTGTGGACCCCGTCTTCCCTACCCCGAAGCCAGCAACTAAAACCTGGTGAGCATAAGCGGCCTAACATATCTTAGCTGTACCACTCCATGAAAGATCCTGACCTCATTCACAGAACAGGAGACAGGAAATGCTTGAATCTCAACAACACATTTCCAGTTCTACAGGACTACGAGCTTTGCTTGAGGGCTAGTAAGGACAGGATTCATCAGCTGTCTCAAAATGTCAAGGGACATTAACTCTTCCTGTGCTTTGCTCTAGATTGCAGGAGACGTAGGATGCGCTCATTTTTTGTCAGATCTGAAGGCAATTCATTTTTCTGAAACAAGAAACAAATCAGTGAGAAACCAGAAAAAGGATGGTCACTGCTTAGCTTTGATGTATCCAAGTTTAAGACACAAAATCAACAGGATTATTTACATTCAATTATAGACGATGCCCTTATTATCAAGGAATATCTATTTCTTTGCAGTATTTACTTCTTTAATTAATTTGTAGTATATATTACATTTCCGTATAGGTTGGTGATTAATGTCTGGCATAAAATCAAGAAAAATTGAAAGGCAAGATTTGCCTGGATTTAATATGGATATACAAACTTATATGACAATAAACCTATGATGTAGTTTATACATAAATAACTTGAAAGATTAACACCTTTTTATATAAAGAACTATTGCCAAAAATATTGTGGTATACTTATGCAATAAATCTGGATTACATAATTTCTTTGGAAACTATTCCCAAACTGATATTTATTATGTAATTTAGGTTGCACAATCCTAGGAACATGGCTTCAGTCCTCTCTGCATACTTATTTCCAAGTAACATTTTTAATGTCATTTTCTAACTACTATATTCAACTCTGAAAGACATAAGGCTAAATATCAGGTTAAACAATTATATTAAAATAAATACATCCATGCATACAGAATGGGCTAAGGCTCAATCTTGCTGTATTATTTTGGTTACTATACGTATTTTGTATTGCTTCTTGATTTAGATAAACTTCATGGAAAGCATCGAGATCATCTCTTGCTCTTTAAATCAATTACCCACCTTTCATATTTCATACTAAATATGAAAATCTGCCAAGTCTCAGTTTATCATCTGGAACTCAGAGATGTGATGGAATGGAATTATGAAGGCCAAGCTCAGGGAGATAAGCATTTTCTTAGCTCA